TGGAACGTGAAATAATCAATATGCCAAGTTTTTGAACAGTAAAATTGATCAGACATTTAAAAGCTAATCAGATTCCTTTAGTCATTGCGATGATTTCGAGTAGAAAGAATTTTGATGTAAAGTTCACAATAATAAAGATTTATTTAACATGTTTGATATTATTTGCAACGATGATGTTAATAATGGCAAGCCTGAATCCGATATATTCATAAAGGCTTGTGAAATATTAGAGAACTCTCCTCCCAAAGAATGCTTGGTTTTTGAGGATTTGATAATATTATCACTGCCCAAAAAGCGATCATTAGGGTGATTTGGGTTCCCAATAAATTTATTACGAATGAGCATATAGAAGTTGATGATGTTGTTCTATCACCTTTGGGTTTTAAGCCAGAAAAATTCAAATTACCACCTTTTGACACAAATCTGGCTTGGCTAATTATCTAATGAATATTAAATTGTTAAATTATATTTATTTATATTGTTTATGTTAAGACAACCAATTTTAGGACAGTTTTCTAGTTTAAATTGGTAAGATTCTGGTCAAGAAATTTAACATACATTGTTAATCTTATTATCTATTAAACCAAATTGAATTGATTTTTTTTTTACTGAAATTTTATTTTATAACTTAAGTTATATTTTGTCTAAATAAATAAATTTAAAGGCTAAGTGAATATGAGTTACCATTAATTGTTTAAGCAAATTAACCAAAATAGTTTTATTTAAACCATTTTATTTAAATTTTAATTAAAGTTTTAACAATACTTTTTTAAGGAAAAAAAAAAAGAGCGAATTAATTCTACCAAATTGTTTATGCCAAAGTCAATTATACCAAAAATTTATACCAGAGTTATTCAATGTTCGGTTCACACTCCGATTTTTTATTTATGTGAATAACATTGGATGTATATAGTTTGTAATTTGCATCTCTATGTTCAACAAATCCCTTTCATTCTGAAGTTTTTTTGGTCAAGGATTGCACTAATGAAAATTTTTAAGCATTGTAGTATTGTTTAATACAATATGAAAATCATTAGATTTGTTATTTGTTAGCAAAATACAAATAAGAGAACATTTTTTATCATTAATTGTTTGCTTATAATTCAGTAATATTCAGTGTTATCAAACAGTTTGTTTATTGGTAATTGCCACATTCTTTTATTATATTATTTATTACTTCACTTAAGTTACTAAATAATATAACTTAATAAAAAGATGCAATTACCAATGAACAATCTGATGAGAATGTATTATTATATTTGCAAAATACAACTTAAGTTATAAGTTGAATTTTTCTCATCACAAAAGAATTTTCTAAAAATGAGTTCTCAAGAACGTCAAAATCTCCAGCAAAGCCAAAACCCCAAACAAATCAAAAACATATTGAAATTTTCATCTCTAAAAAAAATGAGTTCCCGAACGCGTCAAAAGTTAATATATGCCGGAAAATCATTTGAAGAAATTTATTTGTATGTTCATACTACTCTGGGAAACTACTATGCGCTAAGATCAATTGATCTTAGCCAAGCGGCATATACCGTGGAGTATTTGACTTTCCCATTGATCGCTAATGAAGCCAAAGATTTATTAAAATTAAAAGAATTGGTCTTTAAAAGTGCCCAAGAGCTGGGAATCAACATCGAAGGGTCATCCGAAGTGGAATTGATTCCAAATTTATAGAAAATATTAAATAAGGAAAAACATTTATCAGTATGTGGTAAGAAATAGTTAATAACAGCTATCTAAACTTATTTTGGGGCACTAATTAAAAATGTCGAGATTATACGTATATATTTATTAAATTTAATAACCATTATTTTTTAGGAATATTCCTGAAGCTTTTTATTTTGGATCAAGAATTTGAGCCTTTTTTTTTGGTTGGTTGAGAAAACTATGAAATATTTCTATAATGGTACACATAGAGCTTACGGATTCCTTTCGAATAATACAATCGAATAATTTAGATCGGGAAATATCTATTCGAATATTAGCCGAATGACTAACATTATTCGTATAAGCACTGTTTAGAGCTATACTGCAAAATTTTATTAATATAACTATTTTTGTGTTTTAATAGAAAAATGATCCTAATCTTATTTTAAATTAATTTATATAAAAAATTGTTATTTTCCCAGCACCTAGCCCATATGTAGATGCTACAGTATGTGTGAAACAGCCATGATGGTTGAATTTTCAAATATGAATGAGGAATTTGGCTGTTCATTTTCTCATGATAAAAAAGATTAATGTTTTTTTACAAGTAATTACAGTTGTGAACTGACAAACTATATTTGTAATTACAGTTGTGAACTGACAAACTATATTTATATTGAAAAGAATAAATTTAAATTCTCTTGTCCACTACTTTATTTTGTTTTGTAGATAAATGTTCAAGTCGGTTCCAAAACATTGCAGTTAGTAACACCAGTCAAAAAAATTTCGCACACTATTTGGTCCCAGTAAAAAAATTTCGCTAAGAAAAAACCTTTTGTTACTAGTATGGGTTTATATCAATTATGGCACAAATTAGTCAATAATGATAAATTAATGTCACGTAGTAATTAAAATAACCGGAGGTGAAACGTGGCAATTTAATTACATAGCTTTTTGTCAGTAAGGAGCTCCAAGAGCCTTGATTAAGGGCATTCTCAAGCCTACCTCAACAACGAATCTGATTGGTCTGTTTGATCAAACTATCCAATCAGATTTTTTTATTGAATTCAATTGCCTATTTCTTAAAAAAAGGTTTTAAACATTTAAATTATTTAGCTTAGAACCATAGGAATGCAATTGAATGGATTTCATTTAATAAATTACGTATAAGCACGAAATAACACTTGTGAGCGAAAATCGAATCCTTATAAATAAATTATATATTCTCGACATTAGCATATGGACATCCCGAATTAACGCGTATCCTAATATAGCATATAATTTATTGTTGCGATAAATGATATACAGTCGACACTCTATATGTGTACTCTCTATAAGTGCACTTCCCTATAATGATAGGTGCACATAATTTGATCGGGCTAATGTAATTATTTAATATTGTCATTATATGTAGATTATGCCTTATAAATGAATATTCTATAAATCACTTTTACCCAAAAACATGCAGTTATGGAAGGTTAACTGTATTAGATTTAGAAAATCTACTCTTATTTCAGAATAACGCACATAAGTGTATTCAAAATA